ATTTAACGTTATTTCTTCTCGCAGGTGAATGGATTTACGTGGCATCTGAAATGTTTGCAGTGCTCGGTGTGCGGAGAGTCCTTGAGTCAACATTACAGCTGCTTCATCAGAAATAAAGAGATTTTCTGTAGAACGGATTATAACAGGTAAAATCATAGGCTATATTTACATTTATAGTGTGCTGACAGCATGCTGCCAATGCGGCTTAATACATTATAGATGCAGTAAATGTACATAATTAAATACTTTATAGAAAGCAGAAAACTTTCAGTTAAAATAAAATTTTAATTTATAAAAGGAAAAAGGTTTAATTTTAAATTATTGCTGCTTTTTTCATTATTTTTCGAATGAAAGTGCAGCTAGAGTTACAACCTGCAACCTTCGAATTACAAAATGGTGAAACGTTTCTTACCAGCAACAAAATAATGTTTTTTTTCAGTACTTTTGGCATAAAATGTACTCGATGTGGCCTTCAAGTCAGTGCAAATGACTGGGTTCGGAAGGCAGGAAAAGATATATATCATCTTGCCTGCTTTGCTTGCTTCGTCTGCAAAAGGCAGCTTTCTACAGGAGAAGAGTTCGGCTTGATGGAGAATCAAGTTCTCTGTCGCCTTCACTACGACATAATGCTGCCAAACCTACAGTACATGTCAGACAAAGGTAATTTCGAATCTCTCTTGGATATGTGTACATTAACAATCTGCTTTCGATTATTTTATATATAATACCAACTGAAAATGACATTAAATCAGTATCTTACATGTTAACTAGAAACAACAATCTCTAATAGGCTACACTGAGGGACATTTAAAAATGAAAGGCTATTTGTATCATAACAGGAAATATAATACATTTGGATGGAGCCTTACCCATAAAATACCTCCCAAAGCCATCAAAAAGACCTCGTACATCATTCACCTTGGAGCAGCTACAGGTACACTTTTTCTCCACCTGTGATAAAGCGGACTGTACATATCAGAATGGGCTTGCATGTGTATTTGATTTATACAGATTATGCAGACCCACTTTATTCAAGACAAGAACCCTGATGCACAGACACTGCAGAGGCTGGCAGACATGACTGGACTAAGCAGAAGAGTCATACAGGTACAGAACATTTATAAGCTGAAGCTTATACAGTTACTCATTGGATTTTAGAATTTAAAACCATGTAACCATTAGTACTGAATTCTTGTAGGTTTGGTTCCAAAACTGTAGAGCCAGACAGAAGAGGAACCCACTTCATGACAGCATTCCTCCACTGGACAGATATCAGACCTCTGCAATGCCCTTTCTGTCAGATAACCAGTGCTTCTTGCCCTCAGGTAGACCTGAGACTCACTGAGACTGTCCACTATTTCAGCATCACTTTCAGAAAAAAAAAAAGGTACATAACTGTCACTGGATGGTACCCATTTAAAAAAAACACTAACTTACACTTAAGGTGCTGATGTGTACTTTTAATGTACTAATATGTACCATTTTGGGGTAAGCTACATTTTAGCTTTTGTATCTTAGGTTACAGTGCCAGCTTTGTAGTTGTATACCACCATTCAAAAGTTTGGGGTCAGTAAAATGTATATATATCATCCCCCTTTAAAATAATCACATTTTGTTGCTTTGCAGCCTGAAATGAAGACAGACAGTTTTTGTTTTATCCAGCTGTATTTACTCTGTGCAACTTATAACATCTAAGTTATAAACAAGTGAGATGGATAAAATGAACTGTGAAAGACTGTTACTTGGGTTTAAGCTTTTCCAATTGTCATGTTGGAGTGTGTTCTTTTCATCTTGAATAATCACTCGCCACAAAAAAAGAATGCCAAGCTTGACTTTCTTTTAAGTCTGATTGCTTAAAATTGTGACAGTTTTCTGACAGCCTAATGATATGTTTTATTGCACTCTAGCAATAATTGTCAGTTATCTGTCAGTTCACCAATATAATCCAGTCATCAAGGTCCTTTGTTCATCCATGTTCATTGGTATGAAATAATTATAATGGAAGGTGAAGGTCTCCAATTTTGTCTGTGTGTGTTTAATGGCAACCACAATTTATCAAATGTCCAATCAAATAATGACCATTAAACTATTCATCCAGTGAGCAATTCAACAAGCGGTAACAGGCATTGAATACTGCATGATGAATTGATTCACTGCATTGTCCATTAATGTCACCATTTCTTGAAATAATCTCAAATTGTTGTATTGATTTGGACACACTTAAGCTTTACAATAATTCACAATGTCCACACGCGATCTAAAATGGCTTGTCCTTCCTGGTCATTTTGGGTCTTTTCTTTCCTGCACTGCACATAGTGTATACTACAGACCATGTGTTAAACTCTCAAAGATGTGTAGCATACAATACCATTCAAACATTTGTGGTCAGTAAGATGTTGTAATATTGAAAGTCTCTTATGCTCACTAGGGCTGCATTTATTTGATTAAAATACAGTAAAAACAGTAATATTGTGAAATATGATTTCAATTTTTAAATAACTGCTTCCTATTTTAATACATTTTAAAATGTAATTTATTTCAGTGATGGCAAAGCTGAATTTTCAGCCTCATTACTCCAGTCTTCAGTGTCCTTCTGAAATCATTTTAATTTGCCGATTTGCTGCTCAAGAATCATTTCTTACTATTATCAAAATAGTTGTGCTGCTTAGTATTTTTATGGAAATGGTGATACATTTTTTTTCCTCTCAAGATTCTTTGATGAACAGAAAATTCAAAAGAACAGCATTTATTTGAAATAGTGGTGTCAAATCAATTAATCGAGATTAATCGCACAAACAAATAAAAGTTTGTGTTTACATAATATATGTGTGTGTACTGTGTATGTATATACAGTGCTGTGGAAAGGTTTTTGCCCCCTTCCTGTTTTTTTTTAATTTTTTGCATATTTGTCACACTTAAAAGATTCAGATCATCAAACCAATTTTAATATTATGCAAAGATAATGCAAGTAGATACAAAATGCAGTTTTTAAATGATAATTTCATTTATTAAGGGAAAAAAGCTGTCCAAACCTACCTGGCCCTACGTGAAAAATGATTTGCCCCTCCTCTTAAATCATGAAAGAACTGTGATTAACCACATCAGCTTTCTAAAATAATGTGGTTAATCACAGTTCTTTCATGATTTAAGAGGAGGGGCAAATAATTTTTCACGTAGGGAGGTAGGTTTGGACAGCTTTTTTCCCTTAATAAATGAAATCATAATTTCAAAACTGCAGTTTGTATTTACTCAGGTTATCTTTGTTTAATATTAAAAATTGTTTGATGATCTGAATCTTTTAAGTGTGACAAATATGCAAACAATTAAAAAAACAGGAAGGGGGCAAAAACTTTTTCACACCACTGTATATATATATATATATATACACACACATGCATGTATATATTTAAGAAATATATGAAATATATATTTAAATTTATAATATAATATAATTCACATATAAATATGAATATAACATGTAAATATTTCTTAAATATATGCATGTATGTGTGTGTATTTATATATATATACACATATAAATATACACAGTACACATGCATATATTATGTAAACACAAACTTTTATTATGGATGAGATTAATCGATTTGACCACTAATTTGAAATAATATTTTGTAACATTACAATCATTTTAATGTCATTTTTGAATAAAACTATTAATGTCTTGAAAATAAATTATTGTTCACAAACTTTTGAATGGAAGTGCACATAAATACATGCATTTTTCAATGTAGATCTAGTTTGGCAGCAACAGTCATCATATATTTACCCTTATTGTTCACCAGGGTTAAATCAATTTTAGTTTCAGCTTTGATACAATGACAATTTCAGTTGTGCCCACATGATGGTGCTGACTCTATTTATAATAGTGAGTGTTATTTATGATGAAGGGGTTGCCTTTACTGATATACTTCTATTTAGTCTATTTAGATGGAGGTGCCATGGTGGTACTTTGATTTCTACCATGGTACATGAATGTTGCAATCAATTAGGGTATCGTGGTTTACATCAAAGTAGCATGGCATCACCATCTTACTGTTATTATACTGTACTTGAATATATATGGTACCCCATGGTACAATGTCCAAAAAACATGGTAAAGGTACTTTTTGTTAGTGATACTGTATAAACTTCAAGCATCATGAAAGTTTTAATAAAGTGAAAAACTTAACTAAAATTAAGTATAATCTTAATTCAAGAATTAATTGAGAATTCATTCAGATTTTCAGTCATAGTGTGTGCTAACTGATTAGGTCAACCAAATATTTCTCATAGGTTTTGCTTTTCTGCTCTTTCTAGGTCTCTTCATTGTTTGAGCCTCTTCCTGGCTAGTGAGGCTTTGGAGGACCATCTCTGTGTGAAGCACAGTTCTCTTGTTACAGGTCATTGTACGCTCTCTGAATAGTGTCAGTGTACAAAAATGGACTTTTCCCCTTCTCTAAAGCAAATCAGGTTACACCAGATTCAGAAAAAAAAAATTGGGGTTATGGTTATTACAGTACACCCTGTCCCATAGTGGATATGAATTCACTTCTTTTATAAACTAATTGTCAGCAGTGTTATTTATCTTAAAGTGATTGTTCTCCCAAAAGTGACAATTCTGTCATCATTTACTCACCATCATGTCATTCCAAACCTTTCTTATGTGGAATATAAAAGAAGATATTTTGAGGTCAAAACCACAATGGACGCTATTGAATTTTGTTGTATTAACTTTAAAAATAGTCTTACTATGCCTTTTAGCAGGTTTCATAAAATAAAAGTCAAGCATCCCATAATTTGTTACTGACAGTTTTCAAAGACAAATGTGCAATATAATCTGTGGATGGTGCTTTGGGAAAATGTTTATTGTGTTTTATCGGTTTCAGTCAGGAAATATCCTTTCACCTGTGGAGGGATGTGATTGGATGTTGACTTCCATAGTCAACAGCTCTTCAGGAGGAGTCCAAGCTTAAATACTCTGACTCACCTGAACAAGTAGAAATAAAAGCCACCAGTTCTTCCCTGCTCAGGTGCTGCACTACATTTGGACACAATCCATGTAAGTATTACATTTCTTATTCACAAAGTCTTCTTGGTTTGCAACCAAATTACCTCTTTTTTTTTTGTGTGCCAAGACAGTGATTTTGTCATTAAAATGCAACATTTTTGTATTTAGTAAAAATCCATAACAGCCATCACATTTTCAGGGTAATATTTCCAAATGTAATTCTTCACTGCAGTATAATATTAAATAGCATTAAATAGCTCCTTAAATATTAAATATCTGTCTAAGCATATGCAAATGAAGAGTGTAAAGGAGAGCTATTGGTATTCTGTGTTTTCATAGTACTTTTCATATGGCATAAGTGAACAACAAGCTGCATTCAGACTAACAACCAATGAATACTTTTTCACCAGCAGTGCGCATTCTCTCTGGTTCTGCGAGCACCATGACCTCCAGCTTCTCTATGCACAGCCACTCTCTGGGACGGCAGCCGTCTTTCTCCAGCATGTCTATGCGTGACAGTGGGGTTCGGGGACGCTCTAAAATCCCAGTGTCCCTCTCCTCAGCCAGTACTCTGTCCCTGTCTCGTTCCACCTCTCTGGGAAATGGCTTAAACATCCTAAGCAACCTCTCACTGAATGGTCTAGGAGTTGGTGCCAGTGAGAAGGAGACCATGCAAGGTCTAAATGACCGACTTGCCACCTATCTGGAAAAGGTACGTTCTCTGGAGAAGTCCAACGGTGACCTGGAGCTGAAGATTAAACAGCTGATGTTGGAGCGAGCTCCCAGGGGTCACGACATCGAGGGACTGATGGCTCAGGCACATGCGATTGGACAAGAGGTTTGATCTAGTGGAACTAAGAGTTCTGTTTTTTGCTTTGGTTTTAGTTGTTTCATAGACAAGAAAGCAGAGGGAATGTTCAGTGATGTCATTACATGAGATCCTTTATTAGTTAACATCACACTTCTGCTCTCTAGGTGAGGAAAAAGACGTTGGAGAATGCTCGTATAATGCTGGAGATTGACAATGCCAAGCTTGCAGCAGATGACTTTAGGGTCAAGTGAGTTTTGCTCTTTTTGTTCCTTCCTGTAATCCCTGAGAAAGAGCCATTGTGAAATGTATGTACTAATTTCTAGGTTGAAAGGTTTATTATATTATTTGTTCATAAACAGATGGGAGGCAGAAGCTACTCTTTGTCAGTCGGTTGAGAGAGACTGTCATGCACTGAGACGAGCAAAATCTGATCACGATCAGATCATCGCAACTCTTCGAGGAGACCTGGACAGTCTGAAAGAGGAGCTCTATTTCCTCAAGAAGAATCATGATGAGGTTAAACACATAACTGACACAAAAACATGAATATTATTAATATAAAAAATTGTTGTTAATATTTTTTATCAAATAACATTCATTATTCAGCTTGATCTCATTCATATTCATAGGTATTCTTAAATTTTGCACATACATTTTTGCATATTTATATGCTGAATGTAATGTACAATATGGAAATATTAAGCGCAACTAAAAAGTATTTACATATGCACAGATTTGGGAATCTTGTATATAATTTATATACAGATATGTTATATACAGGTCCTATATATAAATAATTATAAAAAAAAATAATAAGCAAATAAATAACTTTAGTCAGTATATACTATTACATAGATATTTTTTTAGCAAGATCATGGCTTATTTCTCTCAGTAGTCATTCAGACAAATATCAAGCCTTTGAGTGCTGCACATATAGGAACACCCTTTTCAAACTGTTGTCTTTAGGTATATATAGAGATATATAGAGCAATCAGTGTGTAAAACACACATTAACACACTCACACCCATGTACACAAACAAATAGAGTAGGTGAAGAAGTGTTTGGGCAGACAGGTGTGGCTCCACTCAAATGTAGCATTTAACCCTAAACAAATTAATCACTTTACAGTGAGCATCTGCAGAATGTTAAGAGCACAAATAGGCAATTGTACAATAAATAAATACATAAATTTAAAAAAAAAATTAGGACACTTAAAAATGTATGGAGATCATTGCATTATATAAAAAAACATCAATTCTGTTTTTGTTATCAGTTCTGAAAAAAGTGGCATTTATTTATTTTTTTAAAAAGGCACCGCAGGTGAATAGTTGAAAAAAACAATTTAACTTGTATAATATCACCATATTTCCCCAGTTTATTGATTACATTAAGAATGGCACACTTTTTCTGGATTACAAGGTTTCTGAAAGGTTACGTTTAAATATGAAAATGAGGCATTATCTAATTAAATTGGATATGTTTTTATCACTTAATGTGTTTTTGTTTTTAGGAATAAAAAGTATAAAATCAAGCAAATGAGGTATGAACAAATGCCAATCTAAAAAATCTTTACAATATAGATGAAAAAACTGTAGTTTCGTGTAGATTTCTGGTTCAGTGCAGGAGGAAAAAAAAGTCATTTTGAGAAAATGAAATCTACAGATGCAAATAGATAAAGTGCAATAAAATAAACACTTAAAAGTGTATTTTGGATTTTTCTTTCCACTAGCCTAAAAATTATGAAAAGCCAAAATTTAAAAAAACTGATGAGTGAATAAAAAAACAGTGTTTGTGCCTGAAGTGTCTTGCCTTAAAAAAAGATAACACAAATACAAATTTTAAATAAAACGCTTCGCAAAAATATGGTTGTTCAATTTTAAATAATAGATACACTGCCGATATACTAAATATGAAAGGTTAGTATTTCTGACTATCATTTCTGAGTATCATTCAGCTAGTAGTCTCATTTGATATTTTGCGATCTAATGCAATTCACACATTTTAAGTGCTTAAGTGTGCAAATACTCTCTGGTGAGATTGTAAATGATTGTCTCCATGAAGGAGAAGAACACAATGAAGTCCCGTCTAGCCAACGAGCAAGTGAACGTGGAGGTGGATGCAGCCCAGGGCCCAGACCTGGGAGCCATCATGGCAGAGCTAAGGGTGCAGTACGAGAGCATTGCACGCAAGAATAAAGAGGACACTGAGATGTGGTACCTGAAGAAGGTCAGAGTACAATCCAACACAGACTCCACTGCCAACACACCTGAATCAGCTATTTATAGACTGATGATTTCACTGCAAACACAGGTGTGTTTGAACTAATATGTGTTCTGTGTGGTGTGTGTATATGTGACAGCTGGAGACTTTGCAGTCGGAGGTGAAGGAGAGTAACGAGGCTTTGCGATGTGCTCAGAGCGAACTCAGTGAAAGACGACGCTTTCTGCAGGCGTTAGAGGTGGAACTGGACAATCTGCGCAAACAGGTGACATGAATGAACGTTTATCCTAAAATCGCTGCAGTTTGTCTATGAAATGTCCACTAGTTGGTAAAAGTGTGACTTTTACTCCTACTGAGACCAATCAAGAAGTTGAAGTAACCAGTTAATAATAGATGCCAGTGTATGCTTCAGAATACTGGAAGACTGTGGACAGTTGCATCCCATAAGTTCCAGGAAAGTCTCACAATTTTTTTGTCTTCTGAACTTTTCCAATTGTTTGGATTGCAATGAACATGCTGCAAAATAGAAATTTATAATGAAAAATATTTTCACTGTAGTGGAAATCAGAACAGAGTCAAATCAACAAATACGTTTAAAAAACAGGATAAATTTAGATCTTTCACGAGCATCTGTCAAAACCTCAACTCAGCTTATATGTTGAAATTCTACTGTATTTCTGGTGCATGTTCATGAAGTATGACAGGGATTTCAAACTTTATGATGCCAAGGAGCCCCAAATATGATGATCACCTTCCTAAAATAAGAAAGCTTTGTTTGTATATTATTGTTCATATTTATAATTGACAAAAATATAAACTATAATTGATGATATTTATGTTTAATAAATTAAATAATTGACTTGACTTATCAGGTCATTGACTTGACTTGACTTAATAATTGGCATTGTCATCATACTAAATCAAATTGTTAAAATATTATCTGGAAAATTATTATTATTTTTTTTTTTAGGTTGACAGTGCATCTGTATCTGAGATGAACACTTTACACAAGTCTTTATGCATCAGTAATATCAATAAATAAATAAGTAAAAGATATTAAATATAAAATTTCACATATTTAAATATCTTCAAAGACTTTTTATAGATCCTCAAGTGCTGCACCCCAGTTTGAAAGTGATACATCTCATATGTTCTTCAGTTGCAACCAGACGTTCGTCACCTGGAAAGAGGGAAAAACTTAAAGACAACTGTCTTGTCTTTAAAATGTTCTAAAATATTTTTGAGAGGTTTATATACAAGATAATAAAGGCAAATTACTTACCTACTTTTCTTTTCTACTAAAGAGAAAGTTCCTTTTCCAAATGTCCTCTAGAGTGGACAAGATTGAATTGCTTGAAGTCAAGAGCGAATGGAAAAAATACCTCTTCCCAACCTTCTTGATCATTTGCTTATGTTAAATTACTCATTTGTAAATCTGTTTGGATAAACATTCTTCAAACAGTCAAATCCTCTATCCTGTGGTTAAAGGTCAATTAATTTGTCAGTGAGCTGTTTGAGGCATCGTATTCTTGCAGTGTTTTTCTTTTTACCTTTTTTGGACTTAATAATTTAGCCTATGGTTTGTCAACAAATATCCAGAGAACGTGTCAAGGTTAGCTCTTCAGCACAGGAAACCACAGTCCCCTCCATCTGCTGTTCGTCCTCATGCAAACAACGACCATATATGTTTACTCCTGTATAAAAAAAATCACTTTGTAATACATGTGACGACAGTCTAAAAACACATTGCATCCTCATGGCCTGGACAGGTGATAAAGACTTTTCAGCAGGTTGTTCAGCTAGTAGTTCACACATGGTTATAGATCCGATATAAGGAAGTTCATTCTTCCTTCTCTAATAATGGGTTTAAACTAATCATACTACAGTCTTAAAAACTGTATTTTGGGCTCTCATTGAAATTGTTAATGATATGGTTCACCTCAGGTTAGTGTTCTGGAGGGGAACCTCGGAGAGACAAATCAGAAGTACACGCTTGAGATCGAGCGTCTTCAGGGCTCCCTGACACAGCTGGAGGACGAACTCTCACAGCTGCGCCTGGATATGCAGAGAATCAAAACTGATTACGAGCAGTTACTGCGTATCAAACAGAATCTGGAGCTGGAGATCGCCACCTACCGGAGGCTGCTGGATGGAGAGGAAGTGTAAGAACTGAGAGAGCTGAAACAATGCTTTTTTATATGTTTTCTGTTGATATATTACAGTTCCTTAAGTATACACAGATAATGCAGAAGGAAACGTCTCTGATGACATTTGTTTCCTTTTTTTCAGGATAAAAGAGACACCCACTCTTAAAAGTAAGTCTGTTCTGAATGGATAGTTCTAAGACTATAAAACTAAAGATGTATTCAGTTGCTTAAATACATTAAAATCCTGTATAATGGTGATCCTAATAGAGGAGACTGGGGTTTATTTGCATAAAATGCTTGGTTTCTCTAGCAGGGAATTTGTATTTTGCTTTCAAACATCTAGTTCAAAATCATCTTAAACTGGAATTGGTCCATTATTAAAACTAAAATTACAATATAATCATATTTTTGTCACAACTTTTAAATAAGCGAACACAATAAAACACTGACATACATTCAGGAAAGTGTCACCATGCAATATATACTAAACGCCCAATTGAGGCAAGTTCCCTATCGAACGGTCTCTACTGTTGCGTTTAACACGTTTATGGGGAAACTCCTATTTACTCTCTCTGATACTGAAGCCTGATTTGTTCACGTTCGTGTAACTGCACAAACAAATGGAGCTTCAACCCGTCAAAAGGGGAGGAGCCGACTGCTATATAAGTCGACTTAGAGTGCCATTCTTCAGAATTTTTCTCGTTCAGCGACAAAGATCATCTCCTCGCTGGACTCTGAAGAATGAAGCCAAAGCAAGAAGTTCAGCCTGCTGCTCGCAGTGGAAGAGCCCCTGGTAGTGGAAGAGCCCCTGGTAGTGGAAGATCGCCGAACAAGCCTTCCCCTGCGGCCATCGGCGGATTAAAAATAGCAAATTTTTGGAGCAAATTTCACTGCAACATTGTTGCAAATGTCGCACCGTGAGTGTGGCTCATGCAGGGAACCTCTGCATTACACAGACGGCCATGGTGAGTGCATCGCTTGCCTGGGCAGTGCACACACTGAGGCTGCGGTCACTGGGACTGAATGCTCTCAATGTGAGAGCATGAGTCTAGCCCTGCTTCGCTCGTGGATCGCCTTCTTTCACAAAGGTGGTCCTCCCCGGCCTGCTCTCCCATTTCCTCCCTCCCAGGAGCCTCAGAGGAAGAAACAGCAGAGCAGTGGGGTTCAATCGGGCTTGCAGAAGTCATCACAGGCCATGCGTTTCTTCCTGCTGAAGCGATTTCGTTTGGCGGCTGCTTCAAGTCACCAGAAGGCTCCATCTACTCAGTAGCCTGCTAAAGCTGCGCCCTCAACGACCCAGCCTCAATCAAAACCTGAGCCTGGGCTTGCACAGCGCTTCCAGGCAGTGAAACGCTACCCGTTTCCCAAGCGCCAAGGACCCCGCCCATGAGTGACGCTGGATTAAGAGCCTCAAAAGCCGTCCTGATCAGTATGCAGAGAGGAAGAGGAGAGGGTCAGGTCCCGCCGAGGCTGGAATTTCCTCAAAGAACGCTCGTGTCTGCTCTCCATTCCCCTGCCTAGTGGGCGATGGAAGCTCTGTTCAAATTGGACCTGCCCTTCAGTGCGCGCCCAACAAAATTACTGCGGTAATTTGGATGCCTCCAACTCGGGTTGGGGAGCACTGTACGAGGGCAGACCGCCGTTCGGATCCTGGTCAAACCTGGAGCAACACTTGCACATTAACTGCCTCGAGATGATGGCAGTTTTTCTAGCCCTGAAAACCTTCCTACCAGCCTTAAAGGGGAACTACATCCTGGTCCGCTCAGACAACATGACGGTGGTAGCCTTTATAAATCACCAAGGTGGTCTCAGGTCACGCTCTCTTCACAGGATGGCGCGACGCCTCCTTTTATGGGCACAGTGCAATCTCCTATCACTGAGAGCAGTTCATGTGCTGGGAGATTGAACCAAGGAGCGGACATGCTGTCCAGGGGCAATGTAGCTCCAGGAGAATGGAGACTACATCCCCAAATGGTTCAAATAATCTGGTCTGTCTTCGGGGAGGCAGAGGTAGACCTCTTCGCTTCAAAAGACAATTTTCACTGCCCAATTTACTTCTTGAGGCAGCAAGATGCCCTGGCCCTTGAATGGCCCATCGCTCACTTGTAAGCCTTCCCCCTGGTTGCCCTGCTTCCTCAGGTCATCAGACGGGTCAGGGAAGTCAGATGCTCGGTCCTCCTGGTGGCCCCATTCTGAATGAATCAGAAGTGGTTCCCCGAGTTGATTCAGTTGCTATCGGCAGCACCTTGGCTGATACCATTGAGGACAGACCTCCTCTCACAAGCGAAAGGCATAATTTGACATCCCTGGCACGAGCTGTGGAGCCTTCATGTTTGGCCACTCGATGGGAACCTTTGCAGCTCCCTGCGAGTGTAAGTAATACCATTTTGGAGGCTAGAGCCCCGTCTACGAGACGCCTCTATGCCCTTAAATGGTCAGTCTTTTCTAACTGGTGTACAGTCCCGTCCTCTTGTGACGTGTCATCCGTGTTAACCTTTCTGCAAAAGCTGCTGGATAAGGGGCACACCCCTTCCATGCTCAAAGTATATGTGGCAGCCATCATGGCAAATCATGCTCTCGTGGCTGGCCAGTCAGTTGGCAAAAATTACCTTGTCGTTAAGTTTCTGAGGGTAGCTCGGAGACTGAATAGTAATACGCCTCGTTCTCATACTGTACCGAACTGGTACTTATCTATAGTCCTCAGGGCCCTACAGGGCACTCCCTTTGAGCTGCTCCAGTCAGCCGACTTGCAGCACCTATCGCTTAAGACCGCCCTCCTTTTGGCGCTAGCGTCGGTCAAGCAAGTAGGGCCCACTCCACCAGAGGGATGGCCTCCTCCTGGGCATGGTCCAGCAGGACTTCTATTTATGATATCTGTGTGGCCACCGGATGGTGATCGCCGTCAACCTTTACTAGGTTTTACAACTTAGATGTCCCTGCCCTCCAGGCATGGATTTTGTCTGCTAAATTCACCTAATCCTCTCTGTGAGTGGGAAAGGTTCTGCTATGTAGTCCCCAGCCGGGTGGCTTGGGTCTCATAATTAGCTCATGGTTTTTAGAAACCCTCATTACGGGTGCGCCGGCTTGCTTATAGCATGGCGCTATTGGATGCATTCCCCATAAGCGTGTTAAATGCAACGGGAGAGACTGTTCAATAGGGAACACTCCGGTTACTAACGTTACCTCGTTTCCCTGAGATAAGGGAACGAGCGTTGCGTAAGCTGTCGAGCTATAAGACTGCACGCGAGTCAATTGTCGACTGTCGAAAGATTCTGATGAATGGCACTCTGAGACCACTTATATAGCAGTCGGTTCCCTCCCTTTTGGCAGGTTGAAGCGCCATTTGTTCGAGCAGTTACACGAACATGAACAAATCAGGCTTCAGTATCAGAGTAAACAGGAGTTTCCCCATTAGCATGTTAAACTCAATGCTCATTCCCTTATCTCAGGGAACAGAGGTTACATTAGTAACCAGAGCATTTTTCCATGTGTTATATGTTTTAATACAATAGTTTAATTTTTATTAATAAATTTTGTTGACCAAAACAATGGTTTAATATATTGTACATTACATATAGTTGTGTAAATTTTTTTTTTTTTTTATTATTTTATTTATTATATATATTTATTTTACTACTCTCCCCTATAACAGTATCATTAAGTTTACTTATATTGTAGTTGTCAACAGCTGTTTGATAGTATAACTCGGCACAATAAATTAGTTATAGTGAAGTGATCTCCTAAAAAGAGCATTTGAGTTACCTGCAGTAGCATAATACTACATTTAAAGCACTGAACTTGCATAAATTCTCTATATGAACTCAATTGCTCATAGTTTTAGCATTGTCTTCCTGCCTTTTGTAGAAGAGCCTGAAGTGAGAACCAGGAAGATTGTGAAGGTGGTCACCCAGACAATGGTAAATGGAAAGGTGGTGGATGAATCCAGTGAAGTTGAACAGATTGAAGAACGAAAAAAGTGAGTCTGGCTCACAAGTGACACCTAGATTCTTGTGCTTTACCAGTGGGTACACTTATCACAAGATATCACAAGACTATTCTCAGCGATATGTTCATCACTTCATCAAAAAAAAAAAAAAACTGAATAAACATTTCAGATATTACAAATTAGTGTCAATGTGTCTTGATTTTTTTCTACCACCTCTTTTTCATCATGGTAGAGATTGCAATAACTTGTACGACTATAAGCTACAAGACATACTTCTTCACATTCTCATAATTATTTGAATGTCTTGCATTTCTTTTCACTGATATTATTTCTTCTTCACTTTCTTTAGGTCTGATTCTGTAAGGCGAGTCGCAGTAGAGCGGGTCATTTAAGAGTAGCACAGACCGAAAGTCACACAGTGAAACTAAATCCATATGATACTAGCTGATTTCCTGAATGAAGTAGGCCTACTAGTTTTAGAGACAGTGGTAGAAAAATGATATGTAGCTGTGGATGGGGATTTGAACCTGTCTGGTCACAGTGTGAGAAACCGAGCTAAAGGGCGAAATCAAGACAGCATCACTTTGATAATGATGACCGAAAAAGCCCTGACACCAAACCTCTGTAGTGTCAAATGTCTTGCTTTTGTGAGGCTTTCTGGGTGAAACAACTATTATAGTCCCAGCCCATCATAGTCCTTGTAAACAAGAGTCTTTACTTTGGTTTGCTCCACTATTATTGCCAGATATAAAACAATTTAAGCACAGCCAGACTTTCAATATACGCATTAAGTAATTCTGGCAATCTTACACAGGTCAGATTCATATATCTATTATTGAAAATCTGAATTTATTATTCATTTTCAGTGCTGAACGAAACATTATACTATATCCAAAATGCTGAATGAAATGTCTGTATTTATCATTTTTATTTGTAGAATTTAATCTACTAACCATACATCTATAGGCAGTTAGCTCATATAATGAAAATGTAACACTTATGTTAGGACAAGAGAACCAAAAGCCACATTCAATTATGCTATTTTTAATATGGGGCACATAATTCACAACACTTTGACATTTCTTTTTGATGTTTATAGATGTGGAGTGCACATCTGACAAATTATGGTCTGTGAAATGCTCAGAGTGACAGCTCGGCTCTAGCACCGTGTATATTATCCCATCTAAACCATTGTGCAGATGAGTAAACATACTGATACATACAATGAAGCCTTTACAATAAACTTTAGACTGATCAGCCACAGACTCTTGTTTGGTTTCTGTTATCCATGAGTGACTTATGAAACATCAGATGATTTTATTTATTTTTTTGCCTTACCATTGTTTATGAACCACAGGCATTATTATTGTAACAAATGCCATTACAAGCTGCTGCCTGTTGGACTATATTACTGACAATAAAAGTGACATGGCATTCTACCACTGCTTTTGGCAAATGAGCTGCTATAGTGTATTCAGTATCATGATCCTTCCATTCAGTAGAAATTTCTCAAAACGACTTGGTTTTACATCCTCCTTGTTTTTTGTTTTGTTTTGTTTTTTTACAGCCCCCTTCCCCTGCACAGGTGGCCATAACAACCATCTCGAATACTGGTGTACTCTAAATGTATAATTTACTTAACAGACAGTTATCAATATGATATAGCTGGTTAAAAAAAGTGCATTAACCCGCTTCAATTTTACAACACTGTCTCCTTGTGGCAAGAAGCACACAACGTGGTTTGTTTAAGAGTGGATCGCAATTTGAAATAATTAATTGTACTCAAGAAATCATCATCATCAACAACAACAATAAATGTACTATTGTAATAATAAAGGGGTTTCCACAATAAAAAATAAATAAATTATAAAGTGCAGACAAGGCTGGAATGTTAAGTTATAATTCTTCAAGTTTCGGTATCTAATTACTGCAAACCATTCAAAACCTTTGCTGGATGACATTTTTGTATTGTATGGGACTGTAAATAAATCTTTCTGTCTGTCTGTCGTTAAGAAAAGTCAAATTAATCTTAATACAGACGATACAAATTTTAGCCACCTGTATTTGTGTCCTGCCCCTTTAAATTTCGCTGACCAATCGAGAAAGTCGGCACATCCTTTTCCGTCTCAAGCCACACACTAACACACAGCCGCTGTATGCTCATCCCCAGGACAACAAAACACTCTGACAGAAACAAAAAACCCCCAAAACAAATTGCTGCAGGTATTCATATTTTAAACAAACACTTATATTCACCTCATTCCCGTGACGATGTGTCTTCGTAGTCAATTTTCCTCCATTCTTTACAGTCGTCCATCCAATGTTTCTGGTTTAGCTCTGTACTGTTTCCAGGCCTGTACTAACCACACTAACATTATCGTGTACACTTAAAACATTGTGCTATCAGAAAACATAGATCAGCATCTACATTTAAATATCATGATATTTATGTGCCTTTTAAATGTTTTAGCTAAATACGTGCGTTTGGAAACTAGACAAGGTAGACGTGTATTACATGGTTATAATAGATTTAAATCTGTTACGTTGTGTATATTTAATAGTGCACCATGGCTCAGGATGGGGTGATACTGCAATTCAACTTTCCCACATTCGGGGACTCCATGCTTCAAAAGATGGATGCTCTTCGTCGAGACAGACGCTTCTGTGATGTTGTGGTCCGCATCAATGACTTGGAAGTGCCTGGACACAAAGTGGTCTTTGCCGCTGGCTCCCCTTTCCTTAGAGACCAGTTTGTCCTTCAGGACTCTCATGAAGTGCAAATATCTACACAGCAGGATGCAGAAGTTGGACAGAGGCTTCTACTGTCCTGCTACACTGGGACACTGGAGTTCCCGGAGCTGGAATTAGTACACTATTTAACAGTTGCCAGTTTCCTACAGATGGGTCATATTGTTGAGCAGTGCACCGAAGCTCTAAATAAATTCATAAAACCACACGAGGTCAAAGACGAGCGTGCATCATCTCGACAGCGTGGCCAACCAGCTGTGGAGACAGCATGTGATGAAGAGGATGAGGTGGACAATGATGGAGAAGATGACTTTGATGATGAGGATGATGATGATGATGATGTGATCATACAGCCCAAGTCTCCGCCTGTATTTAGAAACTCTGAGAGCAACAGTAGAGGAGAGGAGAGTCCTATTAGCGTCGTTAAGGTGGAGTCAATAGATGAGCGAATGCCTGATAACTTTCAGAGCCGCTCAAGTCGCTCGCCAACACTGCGCTCACCTGAGCCACAACACTCCCTAATAAACTCCACAGTGGAAACCCGGCCCGCCGAAATCGCTGGCAACCCCGCAGCTGAATATTCGCTGTCCCCACCTGGACCCAGTGGTTCTGGGAAAGGGAATCTTTGGGGATGCTCAAGGAATGCCGAGAAGGGTATGCAGTGGTACCACCAGTGCCCGAAATGTGCTCGTGTGTTCCGTCAGCTGGAGAACTACGCCAACCATCTGAAGATGCACAAGCTGTTCATGTGCCTCCTATGTGGAAAAACATTTACCCAGAAAGGAAACCTGCACCGGCACATGCGTGTCCATGCCGGCATCAAACCCTTCCAATGTAAGATATGTGGAAAGACTTTTACTCAGAAGTGCTCGCTGCTAGACCACCTGAACCTTCACAGTGGGGACAAACCACACCGTTGTAATTACTGCGACATGGTGTTTGCACATAAACCAGTTCTCCGTAAACACCTGAAGCAGATCCATGGAAAAAACAGTTTTGATAATGCCAACGAAGGCAGCTTGCTTGAAGGACTATAAATTCATATTAATGTCTAAATAAATTATATTAATATACATGACACAGACATAATTCTGTATAACAGTGGTTCTCAACTAGAAGGTCAGGGTCCACTAGGGGGCCTTAGCAAAGTTCCATGAGGGCCCCAGTAAAGGCCCATTCTCTGTAAGGACGATAATTATAACAATAATGATAAAGATATAGTTTTAAAAATCATTATAAATGTAAACAAATAACTGAGTCCACACCAGTACTATGACAATGACGGCACATTGGAACAATATTGTTGGAATCACTTTCACTATTTTTTTTCACAAACTTTTTCAGATGATATACGATTAAACATTGACAGCCAATCAGAATCCATTCAGTTTTAAAGAGCGCACACATTTAAAGCAGCCGACGACAGGACTGCAGTGCACACATTATTGTGCACTGGTGTGGACACTGATATAGTTATCATTATGGTTATCTTTATAGTTATCATTCTTGGTGTGAATGGGCTTTAAGTGTTAAAATAATTTTAATGTAGTAAATATTAGCAGATAATATTAATTAGATAATATTAATTTAGATTATTTATTTTAAAGAAAGAAGGACCAGAGGTACATAATTTATAGGTACATACATTCTTGACAACGGGGAATTGGAGACAAAAAGATTGAGAACCACTGCTTTGAAATTAATACATTAAATTACAAGAAGTAATAAATGAAGTGTCCGTTGATTGATACAAGTCAGGTTTAATGTCATTTTCTTTTTGCATATTGCAGATCAAGGGAAATGTATTGAGTTGATTTTGAATGCTGCTGTGGCATCATTTGGCTGTGTTTTATCTTTTGTAAAGATTAAAATATATTGTTAAAGTATATCTGATCAGACCATATTTCAGTTTTGAATGCTAATGTATAACTTCCTCATTTGCAGACAGCTGTATTTGAAACTACTGTGCAACTCCTGGTCTGTAATAAATGTTTCCATCTGTGTAAATATGCCAGAATTTTGGAGAAAATTGCTGACTCGCTAATAAATAACTGCAGATACTGCATGAAATGAGCACTTCTTTCTGTTAATGTTCATTATTGCTGTATAAAAATAAAAGATGACATCAAGTCAACATGTTAATACATTAAGTATTTCAACATTCAGATTGACTCCAACTGTTTATTTCTTTGCTTTTATGACAAACCACTATGACAGAGCTGTATCATGGCGGCAGAGCGTTACCGTGGACACATAGCATGTCGACCTCCGTCCACTGGAAGATTGACACCTGTTATAAATGTTGCTGCATCAGATGCCAGGAAGGCGATAGCATGAGCTACTTCTTCTACTTCACCTGGTCTGCCGAGGGCATGCGTCACCTTGCACTTCTCAAGGAACTGGAGAAAACACATGATGTGTTATTCAATTCAAAATTCAATTCAAATTTATTTGTATAGCGCTTTTCACAGTACACATTGTTTCAAAGCAGCTTTACAGAAAATGCATGTGTCTACATTACAATTTAGAGTGTTATCAAGTAGAAACATTCATTACAGTGAAATGTGACCCTGGACCACAAAACCAGTCTCAAGTCGCTGGGGTATATTTGTAGCAATAGCCAAAAATACATTCTATGGGTCAAAATTATGATTTTTCTTTTATGCCAAAAAGTAAAGATCATGTTCCATGAAGATATTTTGTAAATTTCCTACTGTAAATATATTAAAACGTAATTTTTGATTAGTAATATGCATTGCTAAGAACTTCATATGGACAACTTTAAAGCAGCACTATGTAACTTTTGGCGCTCTAGCGGTTAATAAACAGAACTGCACACATCCCGCGGAAGAACATTCCAACCAGAGCTACTTCTCTAAGTTTATGTCTATGGCGATTTACGCAGGTATGTGTTACTCCGCAGCGGCGACGACCAACGAATAGTCCAAATATAAGTATTTATTATAAGTGTACCGTAGTGATTCGGAATAAGACAAAACGCGGTTTGGAAGATGAATTCATGATGTACTCGCTCATTATATACATTTAGCAAATTTTGAACAGTTACATAGTGCTGCTTTAAAGGCGATTTTCTCAATATTTTGATTTTTTTTTGCACCCTCAGATTCCAGATTTTCAAATCGTTGTATCTCGGCCAAATATTGTGCTATCCTAACAAACCATACATCAATGGAAACCTTATTTATTCAGATGATGTATAAATCCCAATTTCGAAAAAATTTACCCTTATGACTGGTTTTGTGGTCCAGGGTCACAAATGAACATTAGATAAAGCATTTGATCTTCACTCATCACCTGAGCATACTGGTCCTCATCAAGTCCTGCACGCTTGTGAACTTCTGTTATAATTACACCTGGGCTATTAAGACAAAGCATTTTGTATTACCTCAATGTAACAATTCTGTGGCATGTAAAACAACAGAAATACACTTACCATACTGCATTGACACGTACTTGCTGTGATGCCAACTCTACAAATAAAATAAGATAAAAAAAAAAAAATTATTATTGAGTAATAATACACAAGTCCTTTGCATTAATTACAAACGGTAAAGGAGACCGGGGCTATAGTTGTCACACTTTTTACTCCGGTACATTTCTCAGGGCAGGTTTATTTTTGAAATTCGATTTCTGCAAAAGGACATAAAATTGATTAAAAACTCTATTATTCATTTCTGCCATTAATGCGCCAATAGCAGAATCACTCTTCATTTGGGTAAGTTGGAATCACAGTGGAATCTGCTATTAAACAGCCTATTATAGGCTTTTCAGCTAAAGTAAAACAGTGAAACAATAATAAAACCAAACAATTCAAAGCAAATGAAAGAGCAAAAATGTATATTGGCAATATGCCAAACCATTGTTCTGGCCAACAGATATTGTAATTAGTATATGTATATCTTACGTTTATCTTATAATATTGAATATGAAACACGTGTGACAACTTGCCCCAAAAGGAAATTTATAAAGCAAATACCCTTTCCTTGGGAATACAGTTCAACATTATAGTTAAAATTTACCTTTATTTGATAAAATAAAACTTGTGTTAACTGGACTTTTGACTCAAGACAACTTCCCTGTGTGACAAATAGCTCTGGTCTCCTGTAAATAGCATTAGAGGCTCTTGAGATATCACCTTACCAAGAGCAACACAGCGTGTGAACTGGTCGATGGCTGATTTGGACATACAGTAGGCTAGTACAGTGTTTCCCAACCTTTCTTTAGTCGCGGCACCCTTTGGAAATTTTAACAAATTTGTGGCACCCTACAAAATTAATTTTGTCACAATATTTGAATTTCTAACTTCGATATGATACGACTTTGAAAAGTATAGATATTCGGTACAACAGGGAAGAACTGCAGAATATAATGTCATACAGATATTTTTAATATTATAAAAAAAAAATTTGTCTATCAATGGTGGCAATCAGTAGGCTAATTTCTAATGAAGAGACCAATTTATATGACAGATTTTAATGTAGGCTTTTATATAAACATTGTGAGATAGCTAGTTATAATGGTATTTAAACAAAGTTTTGCTCACTCAGTGTATTTTTTATTTTACAGTTGGGTAATTTTTAAAACATAATTGAGACTGTATTCGAGAGTCTGAAGAAATTGCAGTGTTTTTTATAATGGTATTTAAACAAAGTTTTGCTCACTCAGTGTATTTTTGATTTTACAGTTGGGTAATTTTTAAAACATAATTGAGACTTTAACTGGTCCGCACGCTTCGCACTCTTTGTCGACTTTGGTGAGACTGTCCACATCGCGTCCGTTCAGCGCCAGCCGGGCGCCCAGTTTGGCAAACAGTACCGCTGTGCCTGCTCCTATTCCCGAACTTGCGCCGGTGATCAGCGTGACTTTGCCATTTAAAGAGTCAACCCGAAACGCCAAGTCAGTTTAGTTTAATGTGTAATTCAAAAGCAACCGGCATATCGATGTGAATGTAGTATTGAGCGAGGTTTTTCTGCTTTTCTGAGAGTAAACGGGGCTCAACCCACTTTGAATGCATCTGGAGTTGCCATTTCGATTCATATATTAACTGCTCTTGAATGGACCAACTTTTATTTTTCCTTTCGCTCACATGAACAAGTTAGTTATGTCACTGTGTGCGTACAATAAGAGCATTTTAAGGGTTTTATTACTTTATTTCGAAATGAAATCAGTCAAATATTAATTGTATTGTTCAGTTTTCTTGTGACAGAGAATACATTTCTGTATTTTTAAAAATCGGACTAAATGTTGCGGATTTCAGTTATTTTATTTAAAATACCGGTGTGTTTACCTGTATTTCCGGGTCACTAGCGTCATAATGATTTCAAAATTATAGTCCTAATTTTCTGCCTTTCAAAATCGTAGTTCATACATAGAAAATGCCGAATGCAAATTATATTGAAACCACTTCAGAAAACAATGAGAAATTCTATCAATTTATTGAAAATATTTATTTGTCAAAGTACAATGGCTTATTTATTATTATTATTTTAATTAAAAATACCATACATTTAAAACGCAACGCAAGAGATTATGGGGAAAACAGAGGCAAGTCAGTGTGTACAAATTTATGAAACTAAAAAAAAAATTATATTTACAACACAAGGCATTATGAATGTTTCGCAATGAAATCAATCAACCAGCAAATGGGTTGGCATGGATAGTAACATCCTTAATATGGACATCATTAAGAGGACGGAAAGTCTTTTCATTCACAGGGACTTTCTCTAGTTCATCCAGAGTTTCTAGTCCATCTATAATTCTGTAACAAAGAATAAGCTTGTGTTACAATTCATTACCATCAATAAAATTAACAGAAAAATCACAAGAAAAATGGAAAATAAAACACACTAGCAAAAGGGAGGTCATTAACAACAAATAAATAAATAAAATAAACATACTTTCCAAAAACCGTGTACTTCATGTCCAAGTGAGGCTGTTTTGCATATGTAAAGAAGAACTGTGATGCATTTGTGTTTGGTCCATTATTTGCCATTGCCACCACGCCCCGGACATTGTGCTACATTACACAGACATTAAAAGAAAGATCAAGTTAGATAAGACTAAAAAGATTTTAAAATTGCGGTGCAAGTCAGTTTGATCCAGACATGATTAACTTGAATACCAGATACTGGGGATGTTAAATATTTTTTGCACAGACTAGATGTTTAATAAGAGGTTTTCTTGCAACATAGGCTGATGTTGTAAGAAAAACACTGCATCGAAACGCAGCAGCAACTTGAATCTTGCATAAATCATCAATTCAAGTCATAAGCAACTGTGAAAGTTGATCCTCAAGTTCTCACCCTTGCAACTTTAATATTCAAATTCAAACTCATGTCTAATTTTAATGTTTTCAAGTTCATGTTTTTTTTTTTTAAGTGTAATAATGTACAAAACATTATAATACTTCAATATCAATACATACTTTCAGATGTTCACTGAATTCATCTTCAAACTTTCTTCCCCAAATGCTGGTCCCTCCTTTGCCTGTACCTGAGGGGGAAAAATGATTTTTTATAAATCAACCAAATAAACCTTGACCGGAAATGATTAAAAATAATTCAAAGTAAAATTCAAAACTTGAACATGGCATTCACTCATTTTACAACTTTACAAGCTAAAAACTAAAGCTGAGAGACTTGGGTTTGAGGTAAGAAAAGAAATCCAGGATCAGTTACCTGTTGGGTCTCCAGTCTGGACCATAAAGCCCTTTATGTTTCGATGAAAAATACATCCATTGTAAAACCCACTAGCGCACAGTGCAATAAAATTCTATGGGAAAATAAATATGAGAATTAACGTATGAACAAAATTATATCGCATATTCAAGATGTGTGTCTGTGTGCTGGAAACAAGTGCCTTACTTCACAGGTTTTCGGGGCCTTCTCACAAAACAACTCTATTTTGAAATCACCGAGTTCTGTGTGCAGAGTAACAGCCTGCGAGAAGATGAAAGAGTTCAGCTCATTAATATAGTACCATTACATAATTAATCATTAGATTAGTATATAGAGTTAATAATTACTAATTTAGAATGCAAATAATTATTTCACACTGCTTAAAGGTAAGCCTACCACAGAATATCAAATATTTCACTAACTGTAATTTGGCCAGAGTAAGTTACTCCACCACAATGCTAACATAAAACGGATAAAGCGTTAAACCAATGTATTCTATACAATATATAAACTAAAATATAAAGATTAAAAATTGCTTTTCGTAAAGTTCAGCATTCATAGTAAAGCGCTATCTTACCATCTTCTAAAACACAAGGCAGAAATTATATAGGTTGACACGGACACTACCGTCCAGCATTGCACACGGGCCGCCTTCAGTGGGTGTTTCACTGAATAACGTCCGACGCAACTCAATGACGTTGAAAACATTGGTTCCCATTTATCATTCTTTATCATTTAAAAAAAACCGACATTATCTCACTCTATCCATAAATAAGAGTAGTTTTAACAACAGTAACAATAATTATAATAAAGTTGAGTGAATATGTTAAAAGAACTTGTTACTACTGTACTGTTTACAACAGCATGTAAAGCTGACAAACTGAAAGCCAGTTATTTATCTACTTCCAGTGGTTTTTATTGACACGTTAAGAAAACCGAGTGTTTATTCACTCTGTATGGCTTGATATATTTTATGGGATTTACCTAATTTCTATTAAAATTTACATTTACCTTGCAAAACAAAAAAAAGAAAGAAAAGAAAAAGGAAACAATAGTGGATTTATTGAATACAATGAAGTCCTCGCCAATCAAGTCGTCAACCATAAATATATCAAAATATATAATGGTTACACAAATGTGAGCACTGGAGCCATAGTAAAACCGGTCGGTCGGTCGGTCTCTCACAGACAGACAGACAGACAGACACACACACACACACACACACACACCTAAAATAACACTGACATTAAAAAAAGTTTAACAAGCTTTAAAAATTTGAATGGCATTAACCTGAGCAACTTCTGAAATTCAATTAGCTTAGTTTCCAATGTGTGTGCGTGTATATATATATATATATATATATATA